TACTTGCTGTTGCTTCCTCGACTCGATGTGAAACGAGCGAAAATATCAGTTGTATGTACATACATATGTATATACACTCACTGGTAATAACTGGAATGCGCGTGTTGTGTATTTATTTCATCATAATAAAAATAAAAATATGTAAATATGTATGCATGTATTAAAAAATTTATTAAGAAAGCACTTTTGTCTTTATTATATTTTATTACTTTTGCTCATTCACTTTCATAAATACTAAGCCATTGTAAAAATAAAATTATCATTAAAACGTTTATTTTATTTATTATTTTTTTTTTTTGAATGTACAAATTTCCATATTTTCTGGGAAATTACTTTTTGCACTTTATTTATTTCACATTTTCTCTTATTTATTGTGAAACCTATCAGTCTCGAGGCAGCACTAAGGACTGCGTTTGGAAACATTGTCACCTACATTTTAACCCATTAATTTTATTAAGTTACTCAATTTAAACATTCTTTCCGTAGTAAGCTTTGGAAGTAATATCAGAACAGTAATTATCAAATATTTTACGAAAAACTACTTTGAAAAAGGTTTTCAAGACCACCCTCATTGGTCATTGAATAAAAATTGTTCGAGAATAAAAAGTAAAACCTACAAATTGTGTCGAGCGTACTGAAGAACATTGAGGAGGACATGGTTGTTACTCGGAAGCAAATTTCCGACAGACCAACAAAAGAGGTAAAGAAAACAAAATCATCACCATTTTGCAGTAAAACTCGAAAAAGCCGGGGCAGAAAACTAGCACAGAGGGTGAAACGTACCGTTTTTTTTTTTGTTTTGTTCTCAATGCAATGAAAGGAGTTTAGTGTGCAGCATATTCCAGACGGAAACGCTGTGTGGTATCTAGATGAAAAGTTGAAGTCAAAAAGGGGGCCAAAATTTCAATAAATATTTTTTGATTTTTTTTTCGGTAACATTTGTGTCTATTTAAGGGTATTTTGGTATTTGTTTGTTTTTTTCTGGACTGTTTAAATGTTTTTTTTTTTTGGGATGTTTTGAGATTTTTCGGGTACTATTTGCTATTTTTCCAAGAGTTTTTTAATCTGAATTTTTGAAATTTTCAATGTGCGGCTAGCATCTTTTCAAGGGTTTACTGGTATTTTTCGAAACTTTATCGGGACTAATTCAGGATTTTTTTTGCGAATTTAGGGATATTCGGTACTAATTCGAGATTTTCAACAAATGCGAGATTTTCGGAACTTATTCGGGATTACTACTTTTTACAGCGTCGAACATTTTTACAGGGTGTTTGCGCGATTTTTAGTACTAATTCGGGATTTTCCGGCTTTATATGGGGTTACTATCGTGTACAGCGTCTACCATTTTGTCGGGGGGAGGGGGGCTTTTGTGACTGTTTCTAGATTTACGGAACTACACAATTCCAAACTACTATTGCATACAGCGTCTAGTGTTTAAAGGGTTTCTGAAATTTGACGTTATTTTTCGGGACTATTTCGGCATTTTTGGAACTGCTATTGCATACAGCGTCTATTTTTTTCCAGAGGCATCCCGGATTTGTCTATTGGAGTATTTCGGGATCTACGGGACTGATTCGGGATTAGTTTTTCATATGAGTTCTAGCATTTTTTCAGGGGGTTTCTGCTGGAATGTTTTTAGACTTAGCAGTGTTGCAGGATTTGCGAGACTATTACATGGTTTTCGTTGCTTTTACTAGCTACTGCAATAATGCTTCTTGTCTTTGCTGCTTCACTGTGTAATCATAATGCAAATGATCCCAATTAAAATTTTTTTTGGAAAAGTTTTTTTTTCTTATTACACATTACTTTTCAGGGCAGAATGACAGATGCCATGATAGTTCGAAAGATTTGTTTTTCTAGTACAAAAGTCTTAGAAAAAAGCTCGAATAAAAGCGAACAGCTATTTTGGGAGAAAGCACTTTTATACTCGTATCATTTAACTCGCCTCATTCCAACGGTCGCGATGGCCGAGTGAGCAAAGCCCGACCGAGAGATTCGGTTTGGAAACCTCGGGCCGCGAATTTTTTTTAACTATATTTTTTTTTTTTTTTTTCATTATCTTAAAAAGAAAAATATATATTCTTTAAGTTCATTTAATTTTTCGAAACTTATATTATTTATTTTTCATTAAATTTTAGAAACGGTTTTTCTTCTATTTTTTACTTAAATATTTTTATTTTTTCAATTCAATTTTCCTTTTGGTTTTAGATTTCATTGTTTTAAAAGAAAAATAAATTTTCTTATTTAAAATTTTTTTGTTTTTGTTTTTAATTTCATTCAATCAATAAATACTATTTTCTTCTTTTTGTTTCATTCTTTTCTTTTCGTAATTTAATTTTCTTGTAAATATTAGAGTTTATTGTTTTAATAAGAAAAATATGTTTTTTAATTTAATTTAAATTTTTAAAATAGCTTTGCTTAATTTTTTTCGTTTTTAATTTTATTTTCTTTTATTTACTTTTTAAAAAGTAAAATATATATATTTTTTAAGTAATAATAATAGATTGACGCTTACACATATGTTAGTGTTTGGCCGTGCTTCTCCTCTGATTTGTGGCGTGCGCCTTGATGTTGTCACACAGAGCGGAGGGACCTACAGTTTTACGCAGACTCCGTACGGCGATTGTATTTTTATGAGAAGCTATTTTGCCATTGCCTGCCGAGGGACGGCCGCTGTTAAGAAAAAACCTTTTTTCTATATTTTTGCGATGTTGCTTTGACCAGGGTGTGAACCCAGGCATTGTGGAGTGGAAGCGCGCACTGCTTACCACTACACACCACAGCGGCCGACGCAGCGACTTAAGTGTTAAAAGAAAAATAAATTTTTTTAATTAAGAAATATTTTTACATATTTTTTTGTTTTTAATTTCATTCAATTTTTAAGTACTATTTTCTTCTTTTTTCGATTCATTTGTTTTTCTTTTCGTAATTTAATTTTCTTTTAAATATTGTAGTTTATTGTTTTAACAAGAAAAATATATTTTTTAATTTCATGTAAATTTTAAAAATATTCTTTCTGAATTTTTTCGTTTTCAATTTAATTTAATTTTTATATAACTTATTGTTAAAAGGCGAAAAGCAACGTTATGACCTCCTCGTTAGCAGATCTTTCAATTAATCTTTGGAAAGACAGTAAAGAGCTTTCAACTCCAAATTTTTGTCAAATAGGAGCTTTTGCATTCGTCATGTCGATATGCATACAGCTAATCCAAGAGGTTTTTCTAAAAAAAAAATGTCGCTTCGTTAAAAAAAAATTTTTTTCAGATATTGTTTGCATTACATTTGCTTGATCATCAAAATCACATTGATACTTACAAACTTAGATATTTGTATTTCTCCGTTGAAAATTTATTTGTTATGCCCACGAGTGTTTTGTTTACACAAAAACAGTGCCACAGCGACGTTACTCGTCTCTTTGCACGCATAAATAGTTTGTTTGTCTATTCTATTTGTCTTTAGAGCAATATATGTACATAAATACAAACATACAGTACAAAGATAGTGTTTGTATTGGTGCACATGATTGTGCCACAGTAATTGAATTCGTGCCGGCAGAGTACAGATTATGCAAATAGATAATTACGATGCTAAATCAAATTTAATGCTAATCTTGTTTAGACTAGTCTTACAATCGTATAAATGAAAAGCCACAAAGCAAGTCAATTGTAAGCGTATTTGTCTTGTTAAATATTTGTATCAGCTTCAAGCGTAAAGTGCGAAAAGGGCCTTTATTATTCAATTGCGGTAAATGAAATGCGGTTGTAGCTTTATCATTTAAATATGTGTGTATGTAAATACATACATATACTGTAGATATGTGCGTGTAAAACTTAAACAGATATATGTATAACAAGCGCTCATCGCGGTCACTAACAATATTTTTTTATTTATCTGTTACCAGCTCTTATTTTTTTATAGCTTTAATTAGCAAACAGTTAGCGCAAAATAAATAGCACCTTAGCGGTACTTTATTACGTTTCCTTAATTAATTTTAATTTGTTCCTCATTACTCGCTTGCTGTAATTTCGCTGAGACTTATATATTTTCTTTTGTCCCCCCAATTACACTGCAATTAACCTCATTTCATTTTGTTGCCAAATTTTTCCTTTACTCTCGTTGTGCCATCCCTTTAATCACTCTTTTCATTGCTAACTTGTGCATTTCACATAAAATCGAGTACGCTCATCTCTTATTAGGTTAAATCATATATGTACATTTAATTGACTTCTTGAATATTTTTGCAACATTCCAACATTTCTAATGATTTCTTTTTTTTCTACCTTCTACTCATTTCAGCTGGCTAGACCTGTTCCTACATCTATGGAGTTTCACCTAGACAGTGCAGAATACTGCCAGGCACAGCACAAATAAAAAGTAAGTACTACATAGAAAGGTTTTTAGTATACATATGTATATGTATATGTACATAAAAAGCTATACATAAAATTTATTTTTAACTGGAAACATAATTTTTAGTGAACATTTTTGTTAAAGAATTTTTAGTTGATTTGGTATTAAAGGAAGATTGGAAGAGTTTTAGAAATATAACTACATCATTTTTCCTTTGGTTCTTCCTCAAGCTGTCTTTCGTGTAAAATAAATTGTAAATTTTCATTCTAGTTAGATGAAGTTTGGCTCCGATGGCCGAAGGTGAGAGGGGGCTATAACTGGTTGCGGATGGAGGAATGCCTGGTCTGAGCCAAGTCCCGAGTGATCTGTTACCCAGAGTAAAGCAAGCACGTTATGTTTGCCAACATAATTTTGTCGAGACTTGCTTTTGCGAATTTAGAGTTACTACCAGATACTTCACTACGGGAGGTTGCTGTATAGCCAACCTGGTTCACATCGAAGTCTCATAAGTAATAAGTGCGCTCGTACTGCGCTTTCCCACATCATAATACGAAAACGTCTTGCGAGAGTGAGTCACCTTGTCTGAAACCATATTTGATCTCGAACGGTTCGGAGCTAAATGTTGTGCTCAACGTAACTTTACTGCAAAGCCATATCAGCTTGCGGATATTAAAAATTTAGACGTGGATTCGTAGAAGAATTTGTCGCGCTGTGAAAATCTGGTCAGTGCTGATTTTGCCAGGTCTGAACCCACACTTGTGTAGCTCTGTCATTTCGTTCATAAAGAGCTTCAGTGTTTCCCACAGAATTGTCGATAGGACTTTATATTTAAGCAATGTTAAGAAGACTAATACCTCGATAATTGGCAGGGTCACGCTTTTTGTGGATTGGACAGAGTACGGTGTAAGATTGGAGGGACGTATTCATCTAACATAAGTTGTTTTTTTTTTAAGCTGGTATATGCGCCGCACTAGCCTTTGCCCCGAGCTTCAAGCCGCTCAGACAGCATACCGTCGGCCCCAAGGGATTTTGTTTGTTTATAAGCCGTATTATCTCTGTTTTCACCTCGTATTGGTCAAGTCGACTAATGTCAGCATTACTCCTTTACATTGATTTGGGTTCTTATCTATCAAACGCGCCACGGGTGTCTTTGGTGGTGCGTGTGGTTGGCATGTAGTCGGTTGTAGGAATCCATTAAAGCCGGCCAAGATGTTGCAAGCTGTTGTGGTCATTAGACAGTCGTAGAACTGTGTCTCTTTTCTTGCCGTTCACCTTTTTATTAAGAGCACCCGACCAAACTACTACACCTACCCAGAATCAAGCCTAGTTATTTAACCTGTTCAGTCTTTGTTTTGTTACATCATTTAAGGTGATATTTCCGAGAGATGGACGACTATGTTTCCTGGTGAACGGTACTTGTTCGGAATTTTTAGAGTTTACTCCCAAACTACGGCTGCTATACCATCGCGAGTGCTTTTTTAGTAGTCATATTAGGGGTGATAGCGTATCCACAATATTTCCTATGTTACATACATACATTTTTGGCACTCAAAAGCTTTGGTCGCATTATTTACCTGAAATGGGTATCCAATATGCGGCCCAGTCACTTCAGTAAAAGGGATGAGAGACTCATTGATCTGAAATCATTCGGTTTTGTATGCGAAATTATACTCGCTTTGGGGCTAAATACAACTTTTACCTGCGCCTATATTTTTGGTATACAGGCGTCGTTACTTCATATCCACTCCTTGTACATACAGTGAGCGTCAAAAATATGAATACGCTAACGTTTTGAATATTTTATTTATTTATATTTTCCATACAAAATTTTTCTAATTTATCCAAATATAGTTCATTCAACAGCAAAATCATTTTTTTTTTCAATTTCATATAGAAGTCGCGAAGATTTATTCGCTTTGGGATAAATACAAGAAACAGCAAAAAAAATGTTCATACAAATTTTCAACGTTTCAATTCGATTTCTTAGAAATAAAAATAGATTTTGTTTATTGACAAAAAAATCTAAAAAATCAACGGTAATTTTTAGAGACTTGAAACTTGCACCTTATTTTACTAAAATTTAAGGGGCTACAAAACTGAATACTCAAAATTTTTTAAAGAAATCGAATTGAAAAGTATTGATTCCGCTGGTTTTTGATATTGAATGAACTATATTTTCATAAAAAAATTTAAAAAATTTGGTATGGAAAATATAAATAAATAAAATCGACAAAATTTCAAGGTATTCATATTTTTGAAGCTGACTGTATGTTATTTATGAACATAGATTCTAAAATTGCACATGTTTATTCGTTTAGATATTTCGTTTGACATCTTTTGATGTAGAGATTGGCAAACATTAAGTGAAAAGTTGATTTATGTTGATGCATGCATACAAGTGTGTCGATTGCTGGCAAGTTAATATCGGATGTGACATACTCAATTAAATATTTAATCTACCGTAATAGTGCATTACTGGCACTTGCATCTGTTTCGCTTTACACAAGTTAGTCACTCAACTGGGCGAAAAATAGCAATTAAGAGAAAATAATTTATCAAAAATATTTAAATACGGTAGAAATTTACTTTAAAGTACCGGTACGAAAGTAATTGGAGTGTGCAGACATCCAACTAATGCCTTAAAAAGATTTTTAAAAGATTTGGCAACGAGCAGACGGCTGTGCATTGTTTAATAATTAAATAATCCAATGGGGAAATTTGCGGAATTAAGTTTTTTCATCAAAAAATCGATTGTTTTACAATTGAAAACTAATTGTATCGCTCAAAAACCGCAGAAATTTTATTTTACTTCTGTTTTTTTCATTTACTTTTATTTTTAGTATATAGTATAATTTTTTATTTCTTAAATTGTTGTTTCTTTGTTTTGTCGTTTTTGTTTCTTTTATTTTTATTTCATTTATTAATCTTTTCTTGTAACTTTTTTTTTTGAAATTTTATGTTTTTTTTTTATCTTTTTTTGTTGAATTGTTTCTTTGTTAATTTTTGTTTAGTTTTATTTTATTTTTTTAGTTTTTTGTTGATTATATTTTTGTATTGATCAACAAAAGAACGAATTTTAACAAATGAGAAATAACTTTATCGTTTTATTTTACATACTTTTTTAAATGTCTGTGTACGTACTTTTGTTTATTTCTTGGTTTGAAATTTTGTTTTTTTTTTTTAATTTTAATTTATTTTTTTTTTTTTTTAATTTTAATTATCTATCTATTTCTATATTTGCAAAATTTTTTTATTTGTATTTTTGTTTAAGTTTTCTCTTTTCTTAATTGAACGAGTGTTTTTAGAATTTTTACTATGTATTTTTGTATGCAATTTTTTTCGCTGTTTCTCTTCTAGAAAAAAAAAAATATAACTTGGCGCGTAATTAAACATTTTTTTTTTGAATTTTTTTAGTTTTTAGCGCTTTATTAAATATATTTTTTATTATTAAATATTTTTTTTTATTATTAAATATTTTTTTTTATCATTAAATTTTTTATTTCTATTATTTTTTGTTATTTTTTTCAATTTTTTATTTTTCAAAATTGGCAAACGTCGTTTCACTTTTCTGATAAAAGTTGTATAAAATATTTTAAAATGTTTTAGCACATCATTGAATAGCTATTTTTGAAGTTTCTACGGTCTTTTTCTACTTCATTTAATTGCCCTCCGAGAAATATCTTCAATATGAACCTGAAATGGCTTTGTCATTCACGCAAATTAAAATGTTTCGGCCAGAGGTCAACAAAGGTCAACCATAGCGAATATTGTGAAGCATTCATCTGCTACGCATCAACCTTTTTGCAATTCACAAAACGCAATTTTTCGCTTAATTATTTCTCTTATTTGTTTATTGCATTTAGTTCAATAAATATTTTTGGCATTTACTGTTTTTTTTTTTTTGTTTTCTTCTTTTTTTGGCAAGTTGACAAAGAATTGAATATTTGCTATTTTTCGTCTGAAACATTCTAATGTGCATACATACATACACACCAGAGTATAGCAGAATAGATAGCTGATCATCACATCAATTCACATGAATCGTTTAGCGTATGGTTGCTAGCTAGCCTAGCCAGACCTCCATTCAGCCCACGCTCCCCACCAGCGAAACAGCCAAACAGCTAGCCGCGTGTAGTTAATGGGAAAATGGCGCGTCAAACAATTGAGATGAACGGGGTTTTCAACGATAGCTTTTGACAGCAGCTGTTAGTCACGCGCTCATAGAAGTGCGATTTTTTCTTCAGCTTAATTTTCGACCGTTAAAATGGGTAATTTACAATAAAATTTCAAATTTGGTAATCAATTATTAGCCGCGTTTTGCACTTAAATTGTATGTGTATGTATGTAGGTATGTTGCGACGTTTTGTAGAGTATTTTGTACCCGAAATCAATTAAAATTAATAATAAATTTATTTCCACAATTTAGATAGTATTTTTTTTGTTAATTAAGTTCATTAGGCGCCAAAGAACATTTATACTATTGAATAACTTTAATGGTTTTTGCAGGCGCATGGTTGCTGCTATTGAAGTGTTGACGAAAGTAAAATCGGCTTGCTGGCAGCTGACTAAATTGATTTTTGATTAAACTGACATTGAGTTCACACAATTAATACTGAAGTTTCCAATTTGTATTTAGGGCTGGTGCATCCTTTCAATTTTTTTCATCTGTGTATGTACATAAGTGCTCTATCTGTCCATCTAAAGAGCTTTTCGGCAGAGAGGACCTTCAATCCTGCTGTTTTTTTTTTTTTTTTTTTTTTTTGTTATGGAACACTGCTCCCTTGGCTATCACCACAGTAAGATAAATATTTCAGACATGAGCTCTTTTCGCATCTATGAGCTGGACGGGGAAACGCCAGAAAATATTCACTGTGAAAGTATTCCTCTCGCCAGGCGCAGACTGACTCACTTACTAGGTGGATTCGCACTTAATTCATTTGAATTTTAAAACAGAAAGTCTTTGCAGATGCTAGAGACTGTGTATATATTATTTAGGCGGCGTAATTTTCAGCAATACTTTTTCG